GGAATATATCTTCAGAAATTAACCCTGAAACCTACAAAAATTTATTAACCAGGATGTTCTTCACTCGATTATTTAAAATAAAAAGTTGAGGGGGGGAATCTAAATGTTTCAACAGTGAGGAACTACTACACACCTACTAGAACACACACCTACTGGAACACTTTGAAATCTTGATAATGTAAAAGGAATTTTAGTAACAGACAAATGGATTCATGATCTGATAACTAAAAACAAAGCTTCAAAACTGCACATGTATTATCCATGTGCAGAGCAATGGCTAGCTGGACTTTTTCACAGGGCTAGGATTATGGATAATTCTCTTTTTTTCTCTTCCTAAAATTTATTTTTAAATTTTAGTAAGTTGAATACATATTACTTTGCCCGAGGTGTCTCTCTTTGATAGCTACAGTGAACCCTTGGGCTGCTCAGCGGTGGCCAGAGAGTTCACCGTGAAGCTCCATAGCTGAATGGACTTTAAGACACTGGGGAGAAGGGAACTCGAAGTGTGGGCTGCTCACCGCCATGCGGTGCTGCTTCCGAAGCAGCTTCACCCGGATCTGGTCCATGTTGGTGGCAACGTCCCTCTCAGGCTGATCTAAGTCTTCTGCGTATCTCTGTACCAGGGCCTCGGGAATCCCACAGCGGCCATGCTGCGGGAGAGAACAGACGTCTGTGATCAAGGGTTGCAAGGATCTTTTACCTTCTCTAAGAGCAGCAAACATAAGCAGGATAAGACTTTTAGCTACTAGACAACAGGACCAAAAATTTTCATTTCAAGGGAATTTTTTTTTCTTTAGGGTCAGGATCCATGTTTTAGAGATACTTTCACATCTTAATTTTTTAGATAGTGATGAGCTCTAGAAAAATGTTTTGAAATACAGTTAAAGCAGAACACAATCATCCTATATTTTGGGGGGTCTGACACCCTTATCTCACTCTACCCGATCATTTTGCAAAATGTTACTGAAGACCGTCTTCTAAAATGGCAAACTTGTGCTCTACAGAGAGTCTACTGTTCGTGCCTCAATTTGGAAAGTTGTACTGCTCTACATTACTAGACCAGCCAGCATTTACTGTACAGTAGAATTCCCACTACTCTCCACTCAAAGGGCTTCATTCACTGAATATCAAGAAGACAGAAGAGGAGTACTTTACTGTAAGACATTCGTGGTCATAAGTTTATAACAAAGCCTCCCAGGAATGCATTACAACAAAACATGCATTTTCAGGAGTCACCTGCACACATACCTACATACATAAACATGCAGCTACACCTATTTATTGTCATGTATTTGTCTTCAAAGTCACTTTGGTATTGGATCTGCTCTTTTTCTTTTTCAACTGAGAGATGAATTTTCATTACAGATCTCAACTTTTGGGTACAATAGGGTATTTATTCTGTATAATCTTTTCCCCCATTACCCACACAGATAATGATACAGTACGGTTACTACATCTGAATAGTACTCTACAATTTTCAAAGTATTCATTTTGCGTGCTCTTTTTAATATCCCCAGGAGGTAGTTATGCAGGTTATTATTAATTTCATTTCACACACAGCGAAATGAAATGGAGGTTTGTTCATGTCTAAAACAAAGATGTCCAGTGAGATATGCAAACTGGACCTCGGGTCTGTTCTGTGCAGTAAACCATCGTTTTCAGGAACTGATTCTAGAACTGATTGATAGCTCTCCCCACAAAGGATAGCTGCCCCGGATGAAATACAAACAAGCCAAAGAAGAGAAGAGTAAGGAAAGGAGAGGAAACCCCGGACGCTATTTGCATTTAACCCAGGCGCCTCGCTCTCAGGTTTATCGAACGCCTAGAGCGGGGCAGCAGGGGCCCTCCCGCCGTGGGTCACCCGTGCTGTCACCGGCCATCGGCCCACGCCGCCAGCTGGCCTCGGGGTGGGGGCTTGTGCTGTTCCTCTGGCCTGGGCCCCGACCCTCGGTAGTAGGGCCAGGACCTCGGTTACCTTATCAGAATACGGCTCCTCGGTGAGATCGATGCCCTCGGCTCGCAGCTTGTTCTCGGTGAGCATC